TGATGTCTTGGATGTGTCGCTCCATATCATTCTCTTTAATTCCTCTTAATCTGCAGAACAGCACAAGAGTCTCGCGTCCCGTCAACTGTTCCAACAGACCGTCAAACTGAGGACAGTATCCAATCTGCCGCTGAACCTCTTGTATGCTGTTCTTAACGTTACAGCCGTTGACATAGATATCGCCGCTGGAAATGGTCTCATCGCCGGTAATCATTTTGAATGTAGTGGTCTTTCCGGCGCCGTTCACTCCCAACAGTCCAAAACATTCGCCGCGTTTCACGCCATAGGATATATGATCGACGGCACGGAAACTGCCGTAATCTTTGGTCAATTTTCTGATAATCATAGCATCCGTTTCGAAGAGTTTGGCCGCTTTTTCCTTGTTATTGATTCGTTCGCTTTCGTGCCGCACGTCTTCGTCCTCCTTCTCATTCATTTCCACATTCTTTTTGTCTTCATTTGAGCCAATTTTGTTCAGAATCGATGTCTTCAACCGACTCACTGCATATCTAAAGCTTCTGATGACATTTAATTCGACCAAAACTATTAGAAACCAGAAGAATATTCCCTGGAATATGAATAACAGGATTAGGCGTCCGATACCGGGATTATCGAGCGAGAAGAAGTTGTCGGTCCAGGGAAAGCATGTCTCCCCGCATACGTCTGTACAAAGAGTTGGCAACAAAATTAATTTTGAAAATAAGAGACAATTACTGTAATGCATGTCTAAAACTAATTCAACAAACCTTTACAACAGGGTTTGATAACGTCGGGCACCGGTATAGTAATGTTCATTCCCTGTGGTATTTGCTCCAAATAGTCTTCGAACAAATAGGAAAACTCTTTGAACTCGGTTTTAATCATTTCGATGAATTCTGTGGCGTTAACTGTTCCCAAATTGCACGCCTTCTGGAGTGGACCGATATTGCAGTACTTATTGCCCAAATAATTGGTATACAGATTATACACACTTCGACCCAAATTATAATTTGGCAAAAATATACTGAACGACATGTCGAGCGTACGGGCGGTGTCTTTGAGATTGAGAAGCGGCAGTTCCGCCACCACTACTGTAATGAATGTTCCGATTCCTATGATTATGTTGTAGAGACAGATGCGGACGTATGCAGTGGAGGGCACGTCAAACGAAAACGACATGAG